TGCTCGGCCTGGCAAGGGAGAGATCAGGGACGGAGTAGGCAATCCTGGATGAAAAGAACCTGGGGCAGGTGAGGCTTGCTGATGTCGAGGCGTTGAGGACCCACTAGCTTCATGGGAATCTGAAAGTGGACAGTAGCCACCAGATTCTATCTGAAGTCCAGCACCCGAGGTACTTGTGAACAAAGTCTGTGTGAAAATTTGACCCGAAGAGAGGACGCTGCCACCACCAACACCACTGTTACTGGCACCATTAGCTGTGGGGAAAATGGATGCTGATCCAGGAGACGAAGCCGTGGAAACTGAGGCTGTTTGGTTGGTGTGCATAAAGTAACCAGGGCAGTCACCACTGGCAGGCATCGGCGTCTGGCTTCCAGGTAACGAGGAACCACTTCCGACGCCAAGACATCCGCTGCCGATACCGAGTTGAGTCAGGCCGAGGCGTTGACGTTCGGCCTCTTTCATCAATCGTTTTGCCCGAAGGCGTTCACGCATTGATGCCAGTGTCTTGGTCTGCCGTGGTGGTGGAGGACCCATATCAAAAGGAAGGCCGTGGAATTGCCCGCCATGCCCAGTGGATCTAGGGAGAGATGATAGACCTCGAGCAGATAAACAGGAAGTGGTAGCAAACGATGATGGAGCAGGCAGGCTGATGGGTATTGATGATGGAGTCATGGAAAAAGCACTACTACTTGATCCAAGGCTTGGCTTGGCTGGTGAACTACGCAGCTTGTAAGAAGGTGAAGCACCAGCCTCGTTTGCGAGTGGGCTACTTGAGCAAATCTGAGGGAAAAGTGATGGCCAACAGAAACAAAATTTAAGCCGAGTTCCGATTGAAAGTGGAAACTTATGAAAATAAGTGGTAAATTAAATCTCAGCGATATTCATAAAATTTCCAAATGTATCCCAGAGAAACAAGAAAGAGCCTACTTGAACTCAAACAATGAAATATAATAGCGAATACCTTCCTTAAATTAAATATTACATAGTAAGACCAAGATGATGTGGCCGTGGGCTTGGTTAATAGCTCATTTACCAGTATTGTGCTGGTAGGACCTTTAAAAAAAACTTAGTCGGGGCTATAAGTAGACCATGTGGAACGTACCCAGTCCTGCGTCTTCTGCTATAAAAGACAAT